AATTTTATATTTCCTCCAGAGTTAGTTTCATTAATTTGTCTTCCAAGGCACTTCTTAGAAGTTGTCAAATTTATTTCAAAGCAGATTTTTGAAATATGCTTTCTATATCCTTTTAAATTCTGTAAAATCTGTGGTAATGTCTCCTAGATCTTGATAATGTAATTTTAAAAATGTATAACTGATATTGTGTAACAGGAAGAAAAGGTCTAAAGGAGCAGGGGAAGTGGGAGTAGGGGAAAGGAAAAAAGAGAAAAGAAAAAATATGAGAAAAGGAAAAAAATGGAAATAAGGTCTTTGCAAATAGGGAAGGGTGGCAGGGTGAAGGGAGGGCAAGGGAAGGGGAAAAAAGTAGAACCAAGAGACTCATGTAATGGTACAAGATCCCAATGGTGAATGTAACTGTATTTTATACCAAAAATGTACCAATAAACTTAATGGGAAAAAAAAATGTGGGATATTGTAGGGCCGGGGATTTAGCTCAGTGGTTTTGCCGCCCGCTGCACAAGCCCACGGACCCGTGTTCAATCCCTGGTACCAAAAAAAAAAAAGTGGGATATTTCCTCTACAGGAATACAGGTTCGTCTGGCCTTTTTTTGGGTGTGGTACCAGGAATCGAACTCAGGACCTTGCACTTGTGAGGCAGCAGCAGCATCACTGAGCTAAATCCCCTGCTGTCTGGCCTTTTTCCTGTGAAGCAAGTTATTATGGGCTGAAGAGGCTGTTAGTGTGAAGGGGGTATGAAATAGTTAAAAAGGGATTAAGGAAACTAAGATTGTTGGCAGTGCTGAGAGCCTCATTAAAGGTGATCATGAATTTATAGTGGTACAAACTTACTAAAAGCATGGCTTGTAACCAGGTAATGTGCTGCATGCCTATAATACCAGCTCCTTGGGAGGCTGAGGCAGGAACATTTAAGTTCAAAGCCAGCTTGGACAATTTACCAAGACCATCTCAAAACATTTAAAAGGCTCAGGGTTGAGTGGTAGAGCACCCCCTTGGTCCCATTCCCTAAAATTCCGTAACTTCTAGCTGCAAGGATGCAGTAGTGTTAGCCTGACAAAACACCACCCCTGGGTGAGCCTAACAGGGCAGCAGCATACATGAACTTAAATAATGTACCTCTGCTGAAATTTAGTCAACCAAACCACCAACCTCACACCTGCCATCTGGAAAAATCAACTATTGACATGAAAGCAAGAGCACACTGCAGGGGAACTGAAGGTAGTATGTACTCACAAGGGGGAGTATCATCTTTGGTAAGGTTTGTGTTCCTGCTGAAGGGATTCTAAATTCTAAGACAGAGCAGTTCTAGGTAGGATGCTGTTTCTGCAGCAAGATTAGAAGCAAGGATCTACTAGGGTCTGGGTCCTGTCATGAGGCAAGGATGGTTTAGCAACTGGGTATTCCCAGTAATGGAAGGGTGGAAGCAGTTCTAGGGATATCAAAGGAGTAGCCACTGAAGGTTGGAGTCATGATGCACTTTATAGCTGCTATAAGGGGTTGGAAGAAAATATTTCCTGTGACCTTTGTACTTGGTTCTGTATCTACCTTCCAACCTAACACTAGAGGTGCTTTTTCCTTTTTCAGTGTGAGCCAACTTCCAGTCATCAATAGGTTTAACTTTCACACTGAACATTCTCTCTTGCTAAATGTGATTGAATTTTTCACAAGTACAATTTAATCCATTCACCTGTCCTCCGCACAAATAAGTTTTAATGCAATTATCAATAATTACCCTTGCTTCCTGACAACTCCCAATCTGCAGTGACCCTCTAAAGCTTTAGACCACCCCCCAAATTATCCAACTAAAACTCAAATCCTATTTTAGATTCTAACACTCTTATATTGATACACCCATTTCTCCAAGATGTATGTTATCCCTCACTGCAACAAACACTTTCAGGTAAAGGTATCTTCCTGGTAGTTTTAGATTGAGGGCATAGACAACATATAGACAGTTTAACTTGGTAACATGACTGCCAAGTTAAGACTGATATTTGCGTTTTGTTGCCAGAAAACAATACTATTGGCATTTACTACCAATCTTGTTCATTCGAGATACACTAATAATTCTTACAAAACATTCATACGTTTTCCTTTTGAAAACACGACATCTCTAAAAGCCAACAATAGTGACACAAGATCAACTATAGACCTACAGTTTTAAAACATTCACGTTGCTTGATGCCTTTAGTGACTCACTTAAAACTAAGAAAACGCAGAAATAATGTTCCATAGCTTCTAAGTGCAGCTTCTTCCTGGGTATTTTGGAATGCATGATTTCTGAATCCATCTGACAGACTGTGAGAAGTCCAAACATAGACAGGCCAAAGGTAAACTGTAGATGGTTCTGGTCAACAGTTCCAGACTAGTTCTGGCTTTAGGGAATTTAAATCCAGTCATCAGCTATGTGAGATGATGACTCCAGATCAGTACAGCCCCCAGATGCTCAAGCTATCCTCAGCCCTTACTCTTCCCAGACAAGGCCTCAGACATCACACATAGAGAAGCCATCCCCACTGTACCAGGTCCAATTACTGAAGCACAGAATCCATATGCATAAAATGGTTAAGACACTAAATTTGGGTGGTCTCCCCACTGCACCCCCGACCCATGTAGAGGAGTGAACCTAGGGCCTAATGGGTAGGCAAGTACTCTTCCACCGAGCTACATCCCCAGCTCCTGGGTGGGCTTTTATGCAGAAGTATCTAGAACATATATTGATCCTGTTGACAGATACTATAAGTATAGCAGTTGTTGGTGACAATGAGCTAATGGACAAATGCTGGATTATTCATAGAACAAGGGCTAGAAGTTTAAAGTATATACAGTTAGCATTCCTTAGTCCCTGTTCTAATATACTGTAAACACCACCTTTACATAACTGTAGATTATACTAATAATTACCATGATACAGGAGCCATTTTGTAAAAGAATTCTATTACACTTCCAAAACCCCTAGTTTCTCTTTTGAGGCAGGGTCTCGTTAAGTAGTTCAGGCTGGCCCTGAACTCACTATGGAACTCCGGCTGGCCTCAAACTCACAGTGATCCTCCTACCTCAGCCTCAGTGCCAGGATTATAGGCGTGTACCACAACACCCAGCTCTAATTTCATTTATATATATGTATTTCCCTTAACAAGAATCTGAAAATTTTAATGTATATTTGCTAGTTTTTCTCAATAGACACTGTATCAAATATGGTTTTAAAGTAAATTTTTATATAAATAAGTTGAACATCAAATTCTTTGAAATACCAGAATACCACTTCAAAAACTTAGAGGAAACAAAACTATTTAAGTTTTATTTTCAAAGTCTAATTTTAATTCAGGCTGAACAAACAAGCAGAAAAGTGAGAAAGCTAACGGTATTAGCAGACACAGATGTACCAAATGTAAAACACTGGATTATTAACAGAACTATTTACATGCGTATTTACAGGCAATCCTTTTATATATAAGTTTTACTTTTAGTTGGAAAAACATTTGACATTAGGTAAAAATATTAGATTGGACTGAGGTGGTACCACGTTATAGTAAAATATTAGAAAAGTGATTCTCGAGGTGTATCAATTATAAAGCAGATGAAAACTTGAATGATAAATATCTAGTAAAATTCTCTGATAAAAAAGTCAATATAACCCATGCTACAAAATAAAAGTGAGAAAGCCATATAAATAAAGCAGAATAATGTCTAGGCTTTAGGGTAATGAAGTTAGTAAAGTAAAAGAAAAAAAGAATCCTTGAAGTGGAATGAATCCTCAGTGAAGAATCTTGGTTGTTTAGCTGGGAGTTCTAAGTTTCTTTCCCCTACTAATGGTATTTTACAAGTCCTTTGAATCAAATAGCATCTACATATGTTAATCAATTGTGGATATATTCCAAGACTAGTGCTAAGGATGTTCAAGACTCTGATTAATATTTGATTTTGTGTTTTGAGACAGGGTCTCACTATATAGTTCAGGCTGGCCTTGAACTATGTAACTCAGGCTGGCCTTGAACTCACAGTGATCCTCCTGGCTCAGCCTCTCAAGTATGTGCCACCACAACCAGCAATATTTGAAATTCAATTCATTGAGACATAAGTATCAAACAAAAATAAAAGCTGTAATATTCCTATCTAAAAAAGAATGCTACATTTTTGCAGTAATATGTATTTCTAGGCTGACATTTTTTTTCCCTCAAGAAAGAAAACTTAAAGGATAAGCATCTAACCAGCTAGCAAAATTTACTTTCAACATTTCATTTATTTCAAAATCGATTTTATTGCAGCCAAAACAGTAGAATTAACTGTACATAATAAACTATTTTATATATATACACATTTTAAGTTATAGGGAATAAAGTTTATTTTGGCAGATAGTGTTAAACAAAATTAAAGTTGCATACATTAGTAACATAATTCAACATCCTTAATTTGGTGTAAGTATGACACATGTTCTTGCTTTCCTGTGTTCTGCTAAATCATCATACCTAAAACTGTTTTATAAAACTGATATGCTGAAATTTAACTTTACTGTTTTCGCTTATGCTCTGATTCCAAACAAAACTTTTCATAAGCTTCTTCAATCTCTGGGTCCATCTCATCATCGATGTCATCCAAGTATCTGTAAAAGAAGCCAAAGATGATTCATAACTTTAAAGCTTTTCAATTCAGAAAATATCTTAAGATGCAAAGCCACATAAAGAATGTAAGTGACAACTTTCCTAGACTTATAATAAAACACAAGAATTATGTAAGTGGCAGTCTCTGGAAAACTAAATGTTTATTTTGACAAGTGAATTTCTACATAGATTTCATGTCCTTATATCTGATATTAAGATTCTATTATATTTTCAGATATATCTTTTACCTAAAGGTTATTGATCAAAGCCTTGATATGTAAACTTGGGGCTCCAGATACTAAGTTATCAATAAACAAATTACACTATAGCTACAAGGTAATTTCAGATAGAGTTCACCTCTGGTGATGTTTTATTATTTCATTATGACTAACATCAGAAAGTATATTCCTGCTCTGATTTCTGCTAGGTTATTCTCACAAAGTTAGTTACATTCCCATTTATCTGGAATCAGACTTTCACAATAGGAAGCTAATTTAGAGATCTATTAGATTCTTCCCCCAATTATTAGAATTTTAAAATGCTAGAAAGTGGGCAACCCACTTTCCGGGTCCCCTCCTGCCTCTCAGGAGCTGTCTCTCCCTCAATAAATTTCCTACTCAAAAAAACAAACCAAAACAAAAAAATAAAATGATAGAAAGCAAGGCCTTTCCTTGTTTAATTAAGTATGGGAGGAAAATGTAAAGAGCCAATAAAGAATTTAATATACATACTCCTATTAAATTCCCAGGATGTCTTAAAAAGGTACTATCATCTTCATTTTGGAGATTTTAAAAAGTGGGAGATAAGAGGAGGTGTAGAAAATAACATAAAATTTTGACTAAGCATGTTTCAGAGAAAGAATCTGACTCCACATCTTTTCCCTTTTCTATACTTTCTCCCCACAAAATGATGCTGTCTACATCCCCTCCTTCCACTCTCACCCCCACCTCCCAAAATTCCTTCCACCTACAAGTGCAACAAAAAAGGTCTCTGCCAAGTCTATCAACCTCAGACGGGTCATTTTCTTTCCATTTCCTCTCTTATTTCTAGTATAAGGCCACCAACACGTTGAAACATTCATGAGCTCATCAAGAGAATATGATGCTTACTGAACTTTAGAGAAAAACCTAATAGTTCAGTGCCAAGAACAACCTTTAATACCCAGCAGGATTAAATCTTTCTAGTTGTCCCTGGGTCCTTAAATCTTTGTATTTTTTTATTAAACTAGTATATAAAAGTATAGCAACATTATATTTCTAGATCTTAAACTGGTAAGGTATGACTAAAATAAAAGTGATTCATTTTGTAAAAACACAGAATACATATGAAAGACACAAGAAAAATTAAAGTCACAGACATAATTTACGCCATCACCACCAACACAGGAAGAAAAGAACCTAAGTAGCACGTACAAATACACACAGGTTGTTAAACGACCTGGGAGAGTAACAGGTGAAGAAACTGAGATATGAGAACAAGACTATAATCTTTTTATCAGCCCAAACATTTCTATAGAGTAAGCTGTTTTTTTCACTCTATCCTTTAGCTATGTGTTAGAAGGCTGTCAAGTATTTTTAATGTATTCTCAATTCAGTTTAAAAAAAAAAAAATTTCAAAGAGTGGGGTACTACTATTTCTGTCTTAAGAGATGGAGAAACAGGCACAGAGGTTACCCAAGATCTTACAGTAAGTATCAGAGATTTTTTTTGGTACCGGAGATCAAACTCAGGTCCTTGTGCTTGCGCAGCAGGCGGTGAAACCCCTGAGCTAAATCCCTGGCCCAAGTATCAGAGATTCTTAAACTCTAGGTATAATAAAGTCTATTGTTTAAAAAATTATGCTTAAGAATACTGTTTTATTTTTTCCTTCAACTATACGTTTTTAGAATCAGAGCCTGAGTTTCAATATGATTTCTGAAAATTTTTAGTAGATATATCACTTCCAAACTACACTAAGATATCGAATCAAAATGCCATTCTTTCATCTTTTTCTATTGTAATTTCTACCTAAAAACTGATCACAGAAACAAAACAAATTAGTAACTAGAGAACTTACGGATCACCAGCCCCTGATAAATCTGTTCCATTTTCTTCATAATCTGGAAAAAACTCCTCTCTTTCAAGTAACTCTTGATATTTCTCTTGGTAATCTTTAAGACAACAACAAAAACTAAATTAAAAAATCCTATGAAATGAACAGTTGCCCCTAAAAATTCTTTTTAAAGTCTTTTCATTTAACTAAACCAATGTTTAAAGACAGTAAGCTCTCAAATTACATAAAATAGCTCTCAAAAAACTTATGTTAAGTTTGCCAACTTTCCCCACTCTGCTGCAACCTCACAAATCTTAATTATGTATCTCTGTGCTGCTTTCACAAGACAAAATTCTGGTTCTGCTGGGAAGGAACACGTCCATACTATTTTTTCTTCCATCCTTCTGTCCCTCTATCCCTCCCAATACTCCCAGCTTCCAGCTCCCACATTACTCCTCCACAGGGAGATAATCTCTCTGGCTACCAGGCAACAGAATTCATTCAGTCTGATGAGATTAATTTGTCAAAGGTTTTCAACAGAGGGGATTTTCTTTTCTTTCCTTCCCTTAGAGACCAGGAAAGTAAGATACCCTACTTACTTCAGCTCCAGCCACTTCTCCCTAGGTTGAGTCTCCTGAGGGGACACAGGTAATATTATAGCTGTCTACCTGCAGCTGTTGCAGGCAGAGTTAATGGGTACCTTTTCAACTTATTATGTATGTATGGAGTCCTTATCTCTGAATAATAAAGTGAATCAGTGTATATGAAGTATAACATTACTAGTTACATAAAATTAATTTAAGAATAAAAGCCACCACAGATCTTGAAAGGATATTATAATTATGGGATAAGACCATGTTTTCCCAAGACTGTCAGTCTCTATAAAACTAACTCAGCTTCAAGATTTGATGACTTCCAGTGTTGACAATTTACAGACCACACTGACTATAAAGCCTTTCTGCTACAAATACCTGATTTTTTTGAGACAGGGTTTTGCTATGTAATCCAAACTGGCCTTATGTACCCTAGGCCGGCCTCAAACTCATGGTGATCCTCCTCCCTCATCCTCCCGAGTGCTAGGGTTACAGGCCTGTGCCACCACTCCAGGCCTTACAAATGCTTGAGATAATAGAGAAGACCTTTCCTTACATGAGCTCACCTAAAAAAGTCAAGGCACCAGATGACAATTGAAAAAAAACTGAAAGTTGTCCATAAACTACCATAGCTGCTGGCAGGGAAGCTGACAGATGGTTCTGGTCTCAGTAACTATGGGCTTAGACTTTAAAGCCCACAGAAAGCCAGGTGTGCCAGAGCACACCTGTAATCCCAGCACTTTGGAGGCTGAGGCAGCAGGATCACTGCAAGTTTGAAGCCATCCTGGACTACATAGTGAATTCAAGGCCAGCCTGAACTACAAAGTAAGACACTGTCTCAGAAAAAACAAAAAGCAAACAAACAAAAACCCCACAGAAGATCAGCATCAAGGTCTTGGGTGCATATGAAACAGGAAAATGGAATCCAAGTTCCATATTCATCTCATCCTGCACAAACAAGAGACCTCCAAAGAGCTAATAACTTAAGCAAAAGCTGTGCTAGGAAAAACAAAAACACACAGCTCAGTGGAGTGGCAAAGGCAGATATAGGAAGGAAGCGCCACTGATTGCATGAGCTCGGAATGGGATTCAGGTACTCTGGAGAAATTGGTCTTCAAGAGTTTGAAACGATGGACCTGCACCTCAGATTTCTACTGCTCACATGAAGAACCCCTATACCAAAAAAAAAAAAATCTATTCCTAGTCACTAGAGTGATAACTCTGTCACTCCCAAAAGAAGCAAATTTATTTTTAATGGATTCCTACAACTCAAACTGTAACATTTTTAATGAAAAAAAAAAAGTTAAAATAGTAAAGCATTAATAAAGAGCCACAATAAATGTAACTTCAAATAGTTTAGAAAAAAAGAATGTGTAAAGAGATATAAATTACTCAGTTTAACTGTTAACAAAAAGTACATATGACTCAGGCATGTACACCCCTCTAAGCACAGCACTCTGGGAAACTGAGGCAGGAGGATCACAAGTTCAAACCCAGCCTGGATAACTCAGTGACTCTGCATGATCCTTTCTCAAAAAACATGAATGAGGCCGGGGATTTAGCTCAGTGGTTTCGCTGCCTACTGCACAAGTGCAAGGACCCGAGTTTGACCCCCAGTACCAAAAAGAAAAAAAAAAAAAATGAAGGGATGGGGATACAGTTTAGTGCAAAGATCCCAGGTTCAAACTCCAGTACTGTACTGGGAAAAAAAAAAAAAGTACATCTAGGTGAAAAGGAGATGGATGTTTGGTAGTTTTTACATTTGTTACTTTACTGGAAGTTTGAAATCACTTCAGAATGAAGCTTAAAAAAGGGTCAAACATGACCTTGCAATAGAAATATGACATAAGGAAACAATTTCCATTCTGTGTGTGAAAATCAGGAATAGTATCAGTTAGAATTAGGAAAATGAAACAAAAACATGAAACAAAAGCAAGCATATATAAATGATGACAAAAAAGGTCAAGATAAACTGAATGAAATGCAAAACAATTCAATTTAGATAAACCAAATGAAATTTCCATGAACGAAAGTTACTAGAAATAGTTAAGATACTACATGAACTAGACACAGATAATGAATGAACAACAGTGAAAATGAATCAATGTAACTGAAGAATAAGAGGAAAGATTTATCTTACCAGACATAGCAAGACTTACAGCAAGTCAAGAATAATTAGAGTGTGAATAAACATGGTATATAACAGAGGTACTTATATAACTAAGGAAAGAAGGATGAGTTAGTATTTGTTGCTGAGAAAAGACTATGGAAAAATATTTAATTTCTATACCTGTCACATATAAAGATTAGCCAGGTGGATTAAAAATCTAAATGTTAAAAGAAGCAAAATAAGATTTTTTAGAAGAAAATGAAATTTGAGTGTGGTGAAGTAAAATCAGAGAACACACAAATAAGATTGCTAAGTTTCATATTAAAACTCAAAGCTTCTACAAGACATTATAAACAAAAGCGGAAGAGCCATACAGGAAGAAGATAACTGAAACTCTCCGCTGACTAAGGATCACTTTTTTCTAGACTACATAAGGAATCACAAATCAGTAAGGCAAATGACCCAAAAAAATAAGGGCAAACAGACAATTCTCAGAGGAATAAATCAAAAGGTCAACAGAAAAAGAAAAAGAGACTCAATCTCATTAGGCGGGGAAATAAAATGACAAGACAGAAATTCATACAATTGGACTGAAAAACTTAAGTCTGATAAGTGTCTCCAAGGATAAGCAGTAGGAACTCTCATAAGCTGTTGGTGGAAATATTAAGTGGCACAATTGCATTAGAAAGCAATTTAGCAACAATTAGTGAAGTTGAAGATGCTGATAGACTGTAACTTAATCCTACTTCCTCACCTTAAAGAAACTTCTTTGTGCTAGGGCACATACCAGTTAATGCCTGCTATTCAAAAGGAAAAATCTCAACCATAAGCTGGTTGTAGTTTATAGTAAGTGGGAAAATTTTTGGCTCACCCTTCAGTCCCATTCATCAAAATTAAAGCAATCTATCCATAAATGACCCTTTTCTGGGAGGGGAGGTATACATTTAGATTTTAATTAACTCTGAAATGTCAGGTATTAATGAAATCTACAATTCCTAAGTATCTAGTAGTGAACTAAAACCATCTTTCCTTTTCATCCTAACCACCTGAAAGTTTAAGAGTATAAAAACAAAATATTAAGAGGAAATATAAAAGTGGCTGCATGTAATTGAGGGATTCATTAAATCCTTAAGGTAGAATGACAAAACACTATATGCACAGATTTCAATTTGAAATGGCTCATGTCGCTGTAAATACTTTATGTAAGAAAGCCTAGTATTTTAGTTCAGTGAAGACATCAAAAAAGTTACATTTGTATTGGTAAAAAGTGGTTTTCTGTAATTTCCTACTTTATCAAAAATGTGGAGGTGAAAATGACTATGAGACTACGTACCTGGATCAGCTGCAGTGAAAGGAACACCATCAGATGTATAAAATGTTGGTTCATTCTAGGGTGAATCAAAGTGACAACATTTTTCATTTAGAATTTTTAAGAAGTAAATTAATTAGTGCAGAATGGCTGATGTCACTTTTCTGTTCTTGAAAATGCAAGGAAAGGAAAAAAAAAAAATCCTAAATTCCTACCAGCCATTTCACTTCACTGAGAAAAGTCTATGGCTTTTAGATTTCTGTTCTAGTAATCTCATGTTCCTAAGGTTCTAATATCTGACATTCCTGATCAATTTTTCTGTTGTATATTATGAATTAAAATCAGCTCACTTAGGCCACATTTTCCCCCTTTCCTTAAGAACTGACAAGACCAAAAAGCTCCAGGTCATCACTGGCCTAGTAACCATTTTTACTTTATTTTACTTTGTTACAATATGTAAAGTACAATCTGAAATGCTGTACTTTGGTTATGAATTCTCTAGAAAATCTGCTTCCTGGCATCTCTATGCTGACTCAAGAACAAGACTTATCAATCTCCCTTGTAGGGGATGGATCTTTCTCTGGATGGTCCTATTTACCAGGTATCTGGCTCCTGTGCAGTCCTGTGTCAATGTAAAGTTCAAGCAATAAGCAAAATTTAAAATATAAACATGGGTTTACCATAAAGTAGTTAGGATCATTTTCAGGTGTTGCTTCTCTGTATGTTGAAGTTGCATGGACTCTACCCCAGTTACTCGACCGGAGTTCAACAAGCTTCAAGAGCATCTGTTTTACATCTCTGCAGATAAAAGTCCAAAATGAGTTAACATGTATTCACCATGTGTTATAAGGCCCTAAAATAGCTCATGGATTCCTAAAACCTTATTTTCTAATTTAACATGTACACCCAATACTTCAATTTTCTAGATACAGTGGGCCCTCAAGTTACCGGCCTGACAAATGAACAACTTGGGTTAATTAGGTTAATGGAAGATTTATCTGCCTTTTGTTATCTATAGCATGTACCCAGGTAAACATCCAGGTCTCAGCTGTACTGACTTACAACCAACTTGAGTTACAACCAGCCTTCAGGAACCAATCAAGTTCATAAGTCAAAGGTCTACTGCATTTCCTATGATGTTACAAATTCATTTTATTTTTTAAAAACAGCCTTGAAATGTGTTCCACATAAGTGACTACATAGTTCTTAAAAGCAATGATTATCCTTTAAAAATTCTTATTTCTCACTATACACAGAAGTTCTTTACACAAGTATTTGTTAACACTGAAGGTCTAAATCATTCGATTCTTCATCAGACTCGTATCTTCCAACAGGAAAATCTTACTATTTCAATTTTTAAGGGCCCGGGACTTAGCTCAGTGGTGCCGTTGCCTGCCTCACAAGCACAAGGTCCTGAGTTTGATCCCCGGTATCAAACAAACAAACAAACAAACTGATCAATTTTTAAACGTTAACAGAAAAAAAATGATCAGTGAGAAGCCCCTGGCTAAACTGTATCTTTAAATGTTTCTGTCAACCAGTCTGTAAGATTTAAATTATTCTGATGATGTACAGCAGATTAACCCCCTGCCACCCACAAAGGGGCAAAAAATTTAGATCTATTAGTTTCTTTTCCTACCTGCTGCAGTTTGCATCTAGGACAACATTTTCAATTCTTTGAATAATTTCTTCCATATCAGTCTTTAATTTTTCTTTCCAAGCATCTTCCAAAACTGATCCTGTCAACTAGAGAAGGCAGGTTTCAATAAAAAATTCAGTGGTATAGAAATTCTGAAAAGACATTAGCTGCAGTTCAAGCATACAGCAAATTAAGTATTTCCAAATGCTCTCTGCCTATCTAATAACATTTATAAACTTCTATACCTTCTATGTTCTTGACTGAGACAAACTGTAATGGTACCTCAGTTCCTGAACTCAATTTTCTCCACGACCAAACTTGATAAGAACTGAATCAAATTTTCCCTAGGTCACCACTGAACCTAACCACTGAATTTGATTCAGTTCTCATCCAACTCAGTTTGCAATCAGAATCATGGAAATAATCAAGTTCGTGAACCTATGTACTACTGTAAAAGGATGAACTGTGGCAGAACTTTAATCATGGGTTTTGTGTCATGACTGTATCAATATTGTATGGCTAAGTCTATTAGAGTTTAATGAACGTGTCACATTTCTGTTTTGTCTTTTCTGGTACTGGGAATTGAACCCAGGGCCTTCACATTATATCCTCAGCTCTTTTTAAATTTTTTATTCTGAGAGCAGGTCTTGCTAAGTCTGAGTTGCCCAGGCTGGCTCAAACTTGTGGTCCTCCTGCCACAGCCTCCCACAGTCCTGGGATTATAGGCATGTGTCCCCATGCTTGGATTGAACATGTTACTTTTAAAAATATGCAACAAATATAGAAGCTTCAAGTTAAAAAAAAAAAAAAAAGCTCCATCAAGAAAACAATCGAGGATATCAACAAGCAATTCACAGAAACTAATGAATGGAATATAAACATGAATGCTAAAGTTTATTACTGATCAGAAGAATGAACGTAAAATGAGGTTTTTGTTTTTACTCATTATCTATGACAAAACAAAAACTAAGACTGATTAAATCTATTACCACAAAATGTGGGGAAAGACATGCACTCATTCACTATTGTTGGAAGTACACTCTGGTTTAGTATTTGGAAGAAAACTTGATGTTACTTGTCAATATAAAGTATACATGCCTACTGGCCAACCAACTCTCTATTTAGGAATTTAATCTACAGAAATATCTACACACATAAAGACAATGAAAGATTACAGTAGTGCTTCAGTGACTAAAGTGAAAATAACTCATTAATAGAATGCATAATATACATTAATGCAATGGGATACAAGAGTTAAACAATACAGAGATAAATCTGTGTGCCATGCAAGTAGGGATGAGAGGGAGAAGCCAAAACAGAATTAGATCTTATTTACAGAGCACACAAACAGATATGGGAAGGGAATTTATAAAAGGGAACACAGTGAAAAAGTTCAATTTTTCACTTCTAAATTTTGTTTCTTACACACACAATTAGTATATACTAATTGTACTGTTTTAACTTTAAAAACTTAATCCTGAATTCACTCACTCTACATTATAAATGAGTAAAACCGTTAATTTTTTTTTTTTTAAAAGTAAAAT